CGGTCTTGGGCAGTTGACTGTTTATTTTCCTTGTTTATTTTTGAGCATGCTTGTCCTGAATCCGCATTATTCATTCTAAAAATATGTCTAATTTATCCACGAGAGGGTTAAAAACGATTACAGTAATGAAAAATGTGGATGTCCGGTTAATAAAATCGCGTTATTTTTTAATACTTTTAGTCACCGGGCTTTTTGTCATTAATTTTACTTGAATTTGATTCTTGAATCTACATTGCTAAATGTACTATGTATCACTAACGAAAAAATTAAAATATGGACGTTTTCACACTCTAAAGCAAACACATAAAGTGATGGTGTTACAGCCGTGCAGCATTTAAAAACAAATCAAGGTCTCCTTTGATTTCAAATTATTATTAGTTGCGTTCCCTAAATCACAAGAAGTTGCAAGAATTTACAGGAATTTACCCGAAATCGGTCCCGTACTCGGTTCTCTGGTGAAGTAGGGAAAAAATGGGATATTAAAATCGATCCTCTCTTTGTCAGAAGTTGCAAGATTTTACCCGAAGNGCAAGAAGTTGCAAGAATTTACAGGAATTTACCCGAAATCTGTCCCGTACTCGGTTCTCTGGTGAAGTAGGGAACAAATGGGATCCTCTCTTTGTCAGAAGTTGCAAGATTTTACCCGAAGAATTTTTGCTGGTAAAGTGTCAAACCATCAGCTGTTCAAATGATTTGAAAGTTGAATAAGCAAAAAAAGTAGATCTGCATTTCACCGTCTTAAATATATCGCAGCAAAGAAATATCAAGTTTTGTAAGTATTTTTGTTAATTTGCTTGTGTATTTGCATATAATTTAGCAGTTCGGCAAATCATAAAAAACTGCTGTGTAAACGAAAAATGGCGCCCACTGTGTATTTGACAGTTTTACCAGTTTTTACCCGAAAAGCGTTCTCATACTTTTTGGGCTTTCTCTTACTCCGAGAGCAATTTTGCTTTTTGACAGTTTTACAGGTTTTATCCAGAAAAGTTGAGGAACAAAACTATTATTTATCAACGGTTTTCTTATTTCAGGCAAAAAAGACAAAAGTGTCCGATCACTAGGTGGTGTCCGATCACTAGCATAGTTAACCCCACTCGATTGAGAACTCTACCCACCCATATGTATGTACATACATACATACCCATGTACATATTTGCATGCATATGTAAGCATAAAGAGCCATCCATATTTTGGCGACTCGAAGTGTAAACTGCATGCGGCAAGCACATGTCGCCAACGCGCACGTACCGAGCATGCGTGACAACCTCGCTCCAAAATGAGTATGCGGCTCAACGCGTACCAATCGTCCCAATTTATTAACGCGCACATTTGCTAAGTTCACTTTTTCCTTATGTTTACCAATTGTGCTTTATGATCTCCACAGCGTGACATTGCTTTGTGTTTAATATTTCTTTTGTTTTCACAATATTTTTATTTTTATTATATGTATGTAGGTATGTATCTTTTATTTTTGTGTGCGATTTTTTTTTGTGGCGCGTCGCCAGCATTAATTTCTGCACGCGCATCCAATTTCTACAATGGCATGGTTAAAGGTTTTTCTTTTTTCACTTCACTAAATGCACTTCGCAAGAATGATAGAATACAAGATTGCGCCGATCAGAGAGGATTTTTGAGAATAACTTTTGTGTGACGTCACACTGGTGCAATTGCGAGAGAGAAATGCCAAAACGTGAGCAAGAATGGAAGAAGAAGAAAAAATGTTGCAAGGAAAACGTAAACAAGTTGCACCAGTGTGACGTCATGCAAACAACGATTCTGTCAAATTCGTTAAGAGAGGAATAGCGGTCCGAGATCGGCGCAACCTTTGTATTCTCTCAATCGTGTGCACTTCGTGTATATTTAGTCTTCATGGATTCGCATTGCTACTTTTATTTTTTCTGATTTTTAGTGGCTCACTGCTGTCTCGGTCTCCTTTTCTACTTAGGTCGGTGTTATGCAGACAAACTTTTGTTTGCCAAATTAAATGGCGGCTGCTTAGTTTGCTCGGAGGTGGTTATGTCGAGTTTGGCACAGGGTTGCACGTTCATTATGGTTTTCATGGCTATTGCCAACACGAAATGAGAATTTCAGATGTACATAACGCGCAAAATTTAAAATTTTTGTATATGACAACACCGAATTTGCTGCAGTTTGACCAAACAAAATTAGTTTGCTGTGAGAGTCGCCAAACTCGCTCTCTCCGAGTTTGCTGCAACAACAATTGCACGCAGTTTGCCAAACAAAATTTCTGCATAACATCGACCTTATTGGCTCGCGATGTGCTTCCATTTTAAGGAGGGTTTGTTTACATTTGCATTGAAGTTCAACAAAGTTCATTCCAGTCTTCTCCTTTTAATAGGTGCGTTCGTTTAAAATCTCCAACAGAAACCAACCAACTGCCAAATTCCGGCGAAATGTCATCTGTTCGCTCACAAGAGAGAAATATCCAAAATAGTACGCGAACAGAAAATTTGCAGAAACTTGCAAGTTAGACGAACAGCTGATATAATTTTTGTTTACATACAAAAGTGTAAAATTTAAAACGTACGAAAAGTCATCGCAAAGTGTTATACTGACACAGTTTATTGATTAAACAAATAACTACTTATTTCTTACAAGTTTAATTAGTCGCATTTTGTAATTTTTATCTTCCAAACCATCAATTCAATTTTGTGATTTGCGTAAATGCCAACCAGCTGTTTTTGATCAGCTGTTTCCCTGTTGGCAAATTGCTGTTGGCAAAAATTTTTCCAACAGAAACTAACAGCTTCCCCTCAAAATGAAATGTCACTTCGCTCTCTCAATTTCCCCTACTTTGCAAGTTTTTTGCGTACGCGAACGCAAAAACCTGTAAGTTTTGGTTAAACATGAACAATTAACAGCTACGCGAACGAACCTAATCTCTGATTTACTGTGATGTTGCTTTAGTTTATTTGGTCTGCTTACATTTTTATGGTAATATGCACATACATACATTTTACTTCAAAATATTGATAATTGTAGATTTTTAGTTAACACACTTTTTAGAATGCATGAGGAATAGGTGGTTGTTCACTTCTTTCTTTAATGTTTTTATAAGATTTTCTTTTACCATTTTTCATTTCTTCTTCATTAATATTGATTTAAGGTTGCGTTGCTCCTGGTTATTGTTCGCATAAAGGTTATTTAGTATGGTTGATTCCCATTGGATGGAATTTCATAAGTTACGAGTCGTAACTTACGACAGCAAAAAAGGAAATATTTACAAACATATGTACATACCTGCTAAAGCTTTAATTTAAATGCGCGCTCAAGTATAACCTCCCAAAAGCACAGCAAAGGGCTTTATTTGAACGTGTGCATATGTACATTGGGGTGGTCCAAAAAAAAGTAAAGTCGGAATTGTCTAGGATTGTTCTATACCGAAAAATATTTTACCCCTGTTTTTATTATGCAATCAAAAAGTATTTAGAGGTCGCTTAAAGTTTTCCATGTATTTTATAAGGAAAACACAATGTTTCTTAGAAATGGTATAGAATTTTTTAAAGCCAATAAGTTACGATCAGAAAACTCTGTTTCTCTTCAGGAGACTTCCAATAATAATACCCAATTATTTGTTTTGCCATTTTTTAATACTACCGATTTTTAATGAGACCTCCGATTTCTTTTTGGGGTATTTAGGGGTCCTACAAAAAATAGCTGATCGTACAAAATATTTGAATAAACAATTGCGAATTATTACTCCAAGTCTCTTGGAAAAAAGCAAAACCGCGGTTGAGCGCGATCGCGCGACGCGACATCACTGAAACCCAGTGTTGCCATTTTAGTCATTTTCCGGCTAGATTTAGCCGGTTGCGTTAGCAAACAGCCGGAAAAATTTCTTTTTAGCCAGCAGCCGATTTCTTAGCCGTTTTGCAAAAAAAAAATAGCCGTTTTTAGCCGATATTGCTATTTGCCTTGTGTTCTTAAAATTCAAATATTCCATATTTCCAATTTTGACTAAGCGATCCAAATTCTATAAGAAATAGCAGGGTCTTGATATCTAACCCACTAGAAAGAGCACAGTTCACACTTTGTAAAAAGTCACACCTGAGCCCTCGAAACCTTCCATATACCCCTGGAGAAATGTAAACTCGTTAAACAGTATTTTTGTGCAGAACACCTTTCTATTGTCAAAGGTATTCAACATTTATTGTGCATATAACTCCGGCTACGCCATCCACAGTATATTTGCGTAAAACTCACTCCGAAATTCACAAAAAAGTACAATAAAGTGTAGACCGATTCGGACACAATAGCCCGAAATCATTAGGCAAATAACTAAACCGTACCCCGTTAAATCGTTATTTAGTTTTCCTCAATCAAAAATTGCACCAAGATGACGTCACGCCCACAGCTTATTCTGTGCACTCTTCGTTTTGCCATTCAGGACGTGGGAGAAGGAGTTTTCGCTGTCGAAGTTGTGTACACTACCTCATTTTGCGATTCCAGCAAGTGTGAGAATGAGTTTTAACCGCCAAAATTGTGTACACTTCTCTTCCAAAAAACTCACTGAATTTCATTCGGTAAGTTTTTGGTTGTGAGTTTTGTACTCGGTGTACACTACAGTTTCTCACAGTTACAGAATCCAGCCCCTGGTGAGGGCACATAATGTGCTCTGCTGTTTCGTGTTCTTCGTTGCACAACCAGCAGTGTCCCGAACCCATATGAAGCCTTCAGGCAGTCCCACAGCTTTGATTTCGCGTGAAATCCATGACGCTGTTCCTGTGGTCGAAGAGTTTCGAAAATGAAGGTTAAACTTACTTTCCGAGCTCTATATCGACAAGAACTGCCTGGACATTTCTTATGAAAAGATCCTTCGACTCCACACCCTCCAATGGACAATCAACGTAAGCGTTACCGACGAACACTGTGGAAGGACCAAATGTATACGCTTTTGTTTGGGATGAACAACTGGCAGAACTTCGAAAAGAAAAGAGGCAATTAGAGCAGTTTGCAGATGGCCAAATAAGAAAATGAAATTTATGAAATACGAGTATTTTATTTCTTTTATTTCAAAATCACTTTGTGTACAAAAAGTCTTAAATCATAACTAATCTCATTTTATTGAACTGAATACTCGCACTCTTCACCCAAGCGCTCAATTTCGTCCAAAATACAATCAAGCTCCGGCTCTTCTAACACGGGAAAACAAGTGAAAACCATGCGGAAAAAATTACCCAAGCCGCGATATTGCAATGGCGTGTATCCGATCATCACTGTGCCGCTATAAGCTATGCGCTCCTTAATCTTGGGCGCAACCTAATAAATATTAATAAATATTTACAGATAGTAAAAAAAAATACTATACTCATGGGTATGGGAACTCAATAATTTACCGTAAATAGCCGTTCCCGCCACTCATCAGTTTCCTCGAGACCTCTTAACGCCTTCGGTATGTACCAAAAGCAAACGTTCATGTATTGAAAATCATCCAGAACCAAACGAAAACGATCGCTTCCACGTTGCTTTATTTTCTCAATTAGCACTTTCGAGATATTTATTCCATGATCGAGAAGCCGTCCAAAACTACCATAGCCACGAGCTTTCAGCATTAGCCAAAATTTGAATGCATCAATTTTGCGTCCACATTGTATACTCTTATTGCCTGTGTCATAGGAGACATCGTAAAATTTGTCCTGCTGAAAGAGGTAATTTACTTGTGTGCTATTGCAGCGCGAGAGTAGGTCACGTTCGCGCGTGATAAAGAGCGAACATTGTAGTGGAGCGCCGAGTGATTTGTGTGGATTCCAAGCGAAAGAGTTTGTGCGCTCAAGGCCGGCCAGCAGGTGACGATTCTGATAGGATAGAAGAGCTGAACCACCTAGGCATGCCTAGAGATATTTACATATGTTTATGCTTGTATTACTTTTTGTTAGAATCGTTGCAATACTCACATCCACATGCAACCACAATCCATATTTCTCACACACATCGGCTGTTGCATTGAGATCATCGAATGCCCCTAACACCGTGGTGCCAGCGGTAGCATTCACAAAGAACGGCTCATGCCCCGCCTCTTGTGCCTTCACAATCTTCGCCTCCAAATCGGTTGGCAGCATTTGACCATATTCATTTGTTTTGACGACCACACAATTATCGGCGCCTAAACCCAGCCAATGGGCGGCTTTGATGAAACTATAATGCGATTCCTCAGATGTGAAGAGGACAAGTGGACGCATGCGAAACATGCCAGCGGTTTTGACGTCCGGATGACGGCTGTAGCGGGCCAGGACAAGGCCATACCTATTTGTAAAGATGGAGGTGGAGTAAACTAATTTTTATAAATATTAGAGCTTAAATTCGAGTGACATTGAATCTAAAGTAAATGTAAGATGAATTAATAAATTAAGAAAAGCGAGCATAATTTTGAGTAAAATTACATCCATATATTTATTTAATTTTGAACTAGCGGACCTGCATCGCACAACGGTGGAAAAATCTCTTATATATTTAAGATGCTTTTTGGAGCTTTCAACATCAGAATCGCCAACGAAATAAGTTTCGAAAACTTTCGCTAGTCTAGCGAAGGGGTCTTTCTTTGGCAGCGAAATCGCCACTCAACATGTTTTCGTTGATTTTAAAGCCGCTTTAGATATATATTATATCGTAAAATCAAAAGTAACTTTTAAAATACAGCCAACAATTATTTTCCATTTATTATTTATTAAGATAATTAAGCCTGCTTCAAGGCTGTCTTGCCATCATTTCAGGCGTCAAACTTTTTTTTGGACCCGCCCAAATCTTACAAATCTCTGCAAGTATTTTTCTATGTCTGCTCGTTTGTCTAGCTGTCTGCTAGTCTTAAACTGAGTAATTAGCCCTAAAGTAACACTTGCCATTGAACATCTTCATAGCGCGCCAAAGTTGACTGCAAACAAACAAAAGCTTCGCGCCGCTGATGGTTTCAATGTGTCAAAGTCGAGTGTTGCCCGCTGGCCTTACTGTTTTGCATATATATTTCATTTTACTAACAACACATAAAGGGTTATCCATTTTGCAGTTCCGCGATGTTGTAATATGACAGCCGTCAAACCTAACGGTCATATTTTTTAGTCAATAGCGTTATAATAATAATAATAATAATAATAATATAGGTTGGCGCTTACACATATGTTAGTGTTTGGCCGGGCTTCTCCTCCGATTTGTAGCATGTTTGTTGTTACACAAATCGGAGGGACCTACAGTTTTACGCCGACTCCGAACGGCGATTGCATTTGTATGAAAAGCTGTTTTTCATGGCAGAAATATACTCGGAGGTTTGCCATTGCCCTCCGAGTAGCGACCGCTGTTAAGAAATAATCGTTTTCTATATTTTTTTGCGATGTTGCTTTGGCCAGGGATTAAACCCAGGCCCTGCGAAGTGCTAGCGCGCACTGCTAACCACTACACCAGAACGCCCGCCAATAGCGTTTAGTTTTTAAAGTTCACGTTACCTTTATATATTTTATTTGTTACGTTAACTCTCAAAACCTCAATATGAATAACCCTTTATTTGCAATAGATTTCAAGTGTTAATAATTTTTTTTGTACACACTATACACATACTCACATATTAGACATGGAACCACCGGGCGCGAAGATGCCATCACCTTCAGCATAGCCGGCCAATTGGCAAACGGTGCGTATGATTTCCGTTTCGATCAGCGAGAAGACGGGTCCTACTTCATAGGTGTAACTGTTATGTGACACAAACAAAAAAAAAAATAAATGAATAGTAAATGTCAGTGCGGAAAAGATAAGTGTGAAATTATAAATTACACAAATGTAAGAGAGCTAATAGTGAATTAATAAAAAGTAGTTATAAAAAAAAAAAAAAAAAAAAAATTAAGAGTATAGTTGTAAGTATCTTCGAACTCATATTGAGCTCTATGCGTCTACTTAAATATAGTAGATGTGAGTAGTATTTAATTTTTGTACGTTCGGTACTTACGCACTTGCGTTGAGCGCATCGGTAATCCATTGTCCCATCAGCCCATACGGATCCATCTGTCCGAACAGCTGATTATGAAATCGGCCATGATTGGTTTTTACTGAATATTTAATCACTTTGCGACATAACTCCTGTATCTCATCTATAGTGTGCGTTTTGTTCTCAGCAATACTCAGGTCAATCAATTTCTATCAGAAAGCTTGTCTAATTAATCATGTTTATATATAAATCACACTTGTATTTAAATGCATATATGTATGTATGTGCATATGTATGTATGTTTTTTACTTAAATAAAAAAAAATCGTATCAGTGCCATTTAATCAGAAGGCACTTCCCTAAAAGATAATGCTAGTAAACTGCAATGTTTTGTTTTGTTCAATTTTTTGTGTATTTAATTTTTCTATTTTTATAACCATTATTCTCATTTCGATGTAGTGATTATTTTATAATTAATCAAATGCGCATATTTATGTATGTATACATATATATCGACCTGCATATCGTTACCTTAATTCACAAAGCTCCTAACCAGCAATTTTTTTATTTTACAGGAGAGGCAAAAAACATTATAAACAAAACAAACCATTATAACTTTGTTAAATTTTTTTTTAATTTTGCACAAATTTTGGAACTTGGATTTATACGGGTTTGTTTAAAGAATAAACTATATTTTTATAAAAAAATAATTAAAATTGAATAGCAGTCTTCATCAATATCATCGTCTTTAATTGTGGCGTTATCTTCTTTCTTATTTAGGGATGGAGTTTTTAACAAAAATAGTTCTTTTTTGAGAATATTTTTTAACTTTTTTTTACTGGTTTTTAGCTTACTGACAATTACTGGATCAGAGCTTAGTAAAAAAGGTAGAACTTTCTCTGCTACATTTTCTCGCATTATATATGTATCAATATCCTTTTCAGGCTATAGCTTGGACGTGCTTGGAACCTAAACAAATTATTTATTAAATTTCCGATTATTTAGTAATATAACTAACAGATTCCCTGTCCAATGAATCACATGTCCATGAATCATATATGAGCAAAATCAATGCTGACTTCAGATACATATTTCTAGATATTTTGCAAAAAATATAGTGTTTTTGTGCGGAAACATACGAAACAGTTGTAGATTCAATATGATACATTGGACGTACCTTATCTAATCATTTTCACACGCATATGTGTAATAAATGAAAAATTAAATATTTTATTTTTTTTGCATAAGGACATACATATAATCTACGCTCTTTGCATATTTTTATATGCAAATATGTAATATCAAATCAGATGAAAAAAAATCCTGAAAAGAACGGGGACGTATGCCATGAAAAAATATGTATTGCACGAGGTCAGGGATACTAAATTTATATATGTACATATCTACTTAGATCAAAAGAAACTATGTACATACATATTTTAATAACCTAAAAGAGATCAAATGTGCGCTTAATTCACCAACAACTAAAAAACTGATTTAAATTAAATATCAGCAATAAAAGGTGATCGATTTGCATATTGAACAAAAGCAAGCCTTAGGCCATACCAACAAACTAACTTTACAACAATTTTTAACAACTGAAACAAAAACTAGTAATTTTTAGCAAAAAAAAAAACCGACTTCAACTCCCATATAAAAATATATATATATATATATATATATATCATGATCCACTGATCGGATCTCAACCAGATTAGTATGGGACCACCTCTGAGACACTACCTTTCCGATGCAAAAAGAATTATCGAAATCGGTTGACGTGGTCCAAAGTTATGCGGTAACATACATAAAAAAAACAAAAAAAGATAAAAAATATTCCGACGAACTGATAACCTCCTCCTTTTTTGGAAGTCGGTTAAAAACAAGCATCATTAAATAAAATTCTGGTTTTACAGCGATATGATCACCGATCGCAGCCAAGACCAACAAGTGATCTACCTATGTACAAACATTGCTGTAAAAACTGGAGTGAAATGAAGGAAATTAAATAAAGAAATACTTAAGCTTGACTGACTGTCGTACTATACATACATACATATGTATGTATGTACATGCATGCACGTACAATAAATACTTAACTATTACAGAGATGCCCGTGAGTACACACAATCCTAATCAAAAATCAAAACATGACAATCTACGAACATGATCATGTATCAACGGCGGTCAACAGCGGATCAACATCGCAACAACAAAACGACACAAAGCAGTAACACATAGCAACATGGCGCGCAACATAGCAACTACATAGGTTTTAGCAACAGCAACAGCAACAGCAACAGTTGCTGACATGCTGACAAACCATTTTCAAAGTGAAAAGCCAAGCAGCGACAGCCCGGCAAACTAAACAGCTTTTCTTCCACATACATACATATGTATGTATAGTAGGTACATGCATATGTACATACATAAGTACTCACGTGTGCGTTGCCTTAGTGGTTCAATCACGACCATTCGAATTGCCATAAAAATGCCGGTCAAAATAAAAGCGCTTAAATCCGCTAAGAGAAAAATAAACTTGACACACTTTTTAATTGCAAATCCAACGCGCATTAATACCGCCTTGTCATCGAAAGCGACGCGATCGACTGAGCATTATCAACCGATTTCGCGGCCCAAAACACACCCGCTGACGTAGGCTTGCAGACCGATTTGGCCATGACAGTGATACATACGTCGCGCCGCTGTGAGCTACTGCAATCAGCAACTACACCGTTGTGTGTTGACAGCTTTGTGGCGTTTAAGCCGCTTTCTCAGGCGCACATACATAGCTTCATTAATTTAAAAGTAGTACGTACTCCTTATATCCTGCTGATTGATCTTACCACTGCTGTATTTTTACCTCCCACTGTTTTATACTACATACATGTATGTATTAGGGATGTTAATTTTTCAGCTTTTTCCGATCCCGAAATTTTCGGTATGTTGTTATCATAATCCAGGGATTTTCAACAACTTCAATTGAAAAAATTGCTTATATATTGTTTGAGAAACTCTCCTGCTATAAAATAAACAATAAATAAATAAATGGGCTCGAAACCTAAATTTTTATTTAAAGCGGCGTTTTTATTTTTTCTCTTTGATGTCAGTATTTATTTTAAAGGGCTTTGTAATTTCAAAGATATGATTAATTCCAAAAATTTATTTAAAAAATTCAATGCACTTTAGAATAAAAATATGGGTACCAAATGCAAGTGGAAATTTCTTTAGAATTTAAAAAAATTAAAATTCTTTTGGATTCACAAGGAAAAATAGGTATTTTTTGTAAGCTGAGTTCATATGAGTCCTTAACATATAGTAATTTTTTCAAAAACAAATATTGCGAAATTTCAAGCATAAAATTTTAAAACGACATTTTCAATACTTACAGTCCTTCTGCACCGAAAACTTGAACTTGTTTAAATAAAAGATTTCCTCTTTAATTTGATACCCATACATACTTCTTCTCTAAGCACATTTTTCTAAATTTTTTAAATCATTTTTGAATTACTGACGTCAGAGTGAAAAACTATTAACGCAATTTTGCTATATTTGACCCATGGTTTCGCAAATATGTATATTGATATTTGTGTTTAATATTTACTATCGCGCGGTCTTATACGTACATATCAAAAAAAAAATATTAATTATAAAATACAAAAATTAAATATAGCCAATAGTCAAGAAAAGGACTTTCTATTATTGCCATCAGTGCAATTTACAAATCCCGAAAATCCCGGGACTATTTGACAAGAATCCCGGTTTTTTTGGGACCTTAAAAAGGCCCGGATCCCGAGATTAACATTATGTATGTATGTATGCACATATGCCTATATGTGCTAAATGTGAACTTACCTTCAATTCGTCTGGCTGCATAAAGTGTACAATTTTTACGGCGTCGCGATCCGCTTCGGACACACAAAACGCTTTCTCGTTATGCAACAAATCATAGACAACGCGCAGCGCTTTCCAATCATCGGCCAGATTAAGACGTATCTTAGCAATCTCATCGGCTGTAGTTTTTGTTATCGTTGCCCTGTTGGACATGTTTGTTGTTGTTGTGATGGTTTTTGTGTTTGAGTTGGGTTGTTTGTTGTTGTTGATTAACTTTAGTTTGCACTAATCGTTAGTTAAGACTCTACAGATGTCGATTTGTTGATTTGTTAAAAATTTCACCGCGGTCAGTTTTATTTGTAAGAGGCCTAATAATAATAAAAAAAAAACACGGATAGAAAAAGAAATACAAGTTTTATGGGAATACAATGCAAATTGTGACATTTAAAGTAATAATAACAATTAACTTTTTTATAATAATGCATACGTAGAAGTAAGTTTTCGAGGTGAGATCGAAATAAGAACGATATCAAAAAATGTAAAAAATAACATTCATGCTATTATACAAAATACTTGCCCCATTAGTTGAGGTTAAGAATATTAAAGGGTAGGCGCTCGAGGTGTTGTGAATTACAAATGGTATAATTTTGTAAATTTTTTTATCATCAATTCATTATATCAAAGTATATGAAAAGTGTTTTACACTTGGGTCTTTTTTTATGCGGATTTGAATTTATGCGGTTTCTCAAGCCATTTTTTCGCTATAGCGATTTATATTTTTTGAGAGTTGTTATTAACTTTTTCAGTGTGTAACACCGGGGACATACATTTGGTATTTCTTCGTAGCATTTCCAAACTACCATATGTCTGTCACCAAATATTTTAATATTCTTCAAAATACTACGTGAGCAACCTTGTATTTTTGTAGAAAGAATACAACTTCCCGGAGATTGTAGTTTTGTGGCATTCTTATTGTGAATGGGCATTTCGCACTGAACATACCCAAAAATTACAGATATCAGCTGCTCGTTTATCAAAAAATTATTGAAATTTTCGCGCGATTGAAGCCAAAAGTTTATAAAGCAAGTTTTGATGCAATATATGTATAAGCAATTTTTTTCATTTTTATGTATATGTGTTGTTATAAACATTAAAATGCAAAAATTGCTTTTATATTACATCAAAACCTGCGGCTGCAGTCGACAATGAGCGAAAATGGATTGAACGGTAAACTAATAAATAAATTTATAGTTCAATTGTTTATTAGTTTGACGTTAGGTTTGTGTCTTCTAAGCGTAAATCGAAAGTGTTGTATCACAGAACCAATCTGAGATTATTCATAAAATCGGTTTGGTGAACAGCCAAGGCGTTTACTTCTTAAGTAATTACAGCAGATGACAGAAAACACATAGCTATTTTAAATTATAGTTAAATCATTAGTTAAATTTTACTACAGAAAGATTGCACAGAATTTTCTGTAGTTAAGTTTAACTAATGATTTAAATTTACTTTAAAATAAATAAGTTAATGGCCCTTTATGCATTTTTTTTTTAATTTATTACACGGTGTGACTAAACAATATCAAGTAATATATTTAGCATAAATGAATATACCAGCATAAAAAATCTGCATACTCAAAATGTCCTCATACGTCCTCATATTTTTTACATACGTACATATGTATATAATTTAAAATAAGATATTTCGCTGCAAAGCAACGATTGTAAATTGTTAGTTTGCCTTACAAAATTTCGGAGGAACATGGCTCATATGATACCCTCTTCTTTTGATGATGATCATGGCAAACATAGGAAGGATTTGAGGGTATGCACCTGGAATATCCGAGCCCTTAATCGGGGAGGTACCTTTGCCCGGCTGGTTGATGTCCTAGGGAAAATAAACGCTGACGTCACCGCCATCCATGAAATGCGAAGGACGGGGCGAGGAAGGTAAGCGGTAAAGGAGCGCAATTCGGTGTTGGATTTGTGATGGCAGAGAGACCGGCGTTCACTTTAGTGGACAAAACTGCTTGAGCTGACGACCTGGCAGCTGAGCTATTCAATTACGATGGAAAGGAGCTAATAAGATGCATGCCCGACCACTGGAATTCAAGTTCGCTCTGCCCAATCCACAAGAAAGGCGACCCCACCATGCGTGCCAACTACCGCGGCATCAGCCTTCTAAGCACAGGTTGCAAGGTCTTATCGAATGTATTGTGTGAAAGACTGAATACCACCGTCAATGAACTGATTGGACCTTATCGGTGCGGCTCTAGACCTCGCAAATCGCTCATAGACCAGGTATTCACAATACGTCAAATTCTGTAAAAGACCCGCGAGAAAAAGATGGACACTGTTTGTCGACTTTAAAGCCGCTTTCGACAGCACTAAAAGGAGTTGCCTATACGCCGCTGTGTCTGAATTTGGGCTCCCTTCAAAACTCATACGGCTGTGTTAAATGACGTTGAGCAATACCACCAGCTCTGCCAGAAACGCCTCCAAACGGGGTTTCAGAAAGGGTGACTTTCTTTCATGTGACCTTTTTAGTCTGATGTTGGAGAAGATAATACGAGCTGTAGAAGTGAACCGCTCAGGAACAATTTACTACAAGACGGTACAATTGTTGGCTTATGCCGATGACACGGACATAATCGGTAAGAAAAACCGCGAAGTCTGTTCTGCCTTTTCCAAGTTGAACAAGGAAGCAAAGCGAATAGGTCTGGGTGGTAAACGAGGAGAACATGAAGTATCTCCTGTCATCAAACAAACACCGGGAGTGGAACGATACATGACGGTAGGAAGTTTAGTTTGAGTTAAAGTCTCACACTGAAAAAAGAAAAGTTCTGTAACCATAGGCAAATTTTCTCCATTTTGAGTCCCTTTTGTCGAACATAAGGCCTCATACTCATAAATTGAATAGACTCGGAACTGGATACTAGGACGGTCATTCATTCCACCAACCTTATATAGTTTTTTCTTTTATGTATTTTTTTTATACAAAGCCTAAGAAAAATTACACCTGAAAAAGACTTGCGTGCCAAATGAACTTTTCTCTCAAAGTTTAAACTGCTGGAAAATATATAAAAGGATTGAAATTTAATAACTAATTAATACAACTAAAGTAAAATCTGTGGAAAATTAAAGGACCCTTTTATTTCTCGAAAAAACCCGGGTAACAGTTATTCGTCGCCACGCTGTATAATGAGCTAGACATTTAAAAAAAATATTAGTTATTAAATAAAGAAAATATAGCCATACTAGTGAAAAAACCAGTTTCTATTATTGCCATCAGTGCAAATTACAAATCCCGAAAATTCGGAGATTGTTTGCCAAGAATCCCGGGATTTTCGGTACCTAAAAAAGGCCCTAGGTGTTCTAAAAAGTATGAGGTATGACAGCAACTTAGCAGACTTAGCCAGAAGTGAAACAGATAATCGCTTCTAAGGTCCAACTGACTTCCGCATACTGACTTGAGAAGAACTTCGACTAACAAAAGCCCAAACTTTATCTTCTTTTAAAACTGTTTAACAGAGAAACTAAGTAAATCATTGTAGTAGTGCAGTTAAATACATACATGCATATGTAAATAAATATGTATGAGAGCAAAATTATCTTTATCTAATCACTTTCTGCATACTTATTCACTGATAAAATTTTCTTAGCATTGTATCTAGATTTATCGTATTTTATAATTTCTTTTTGCAATTTTGTATTTTAAACCCGGTGTTGCAGTAGCCGAGATGGTGTAGGAGAAACAGGTTTAAAAGCAAATGGAAAATTTCTAACAAACCGGATATGCAAAAAAAAAACACATTTACGATTCTGCACAAATCCGCATTCAACACCACAACAACTTGCACTTTTTCGCCAAACAAATAACTGATATTTTTCTCACTTTCACAACTCCATAGAATAGCTTTCAAATTCACTTTTACACATTTTGTTATACCTTAAACGCTTTTAGCTCGAGAGATACTGTCACCCAAACGCGTTCGACGTTGTCGATCGAATGTGGAATTATGTACATACCAAATGAATATGCAATCAACCACCCGCCGCCACCTACTACCTTTCTGCTATCTGCTGCTTTCAGTTCAATACACGAATATAATACATATGTACATATCTATCTATGTAAGTACATTGACTTGTGTATACTACGTACGATTCTGTGTCAATAATTTTATTTGTTCTACAATTTACTTTAAAAAGCGGACTCTAGCTGCTCCTCGCCGCAAGCGGATTGACATAGTCCGCAAATAACAACAACAACAAAAAAGTCCATGTAATCACCCGCCAATAATCTGAGCGCAGACGCCTGATGATCAGTCAATATTTGCATTCTTACACTACAGTGATGTGTGGAACATGCGCAGGGCCTGCGATCGTGCCATTCACATCAAAAACAAAAGCAAAGAAAATACCGGTCACCCCTCGGCAGTCAATGGCAAACCTCCGAGATAATTTCTCACAGTCTACGGGAGGGCAGAAACAACCTCAGCATCCTTCAGCTATATGGAGCAATCCTTTTTTCTACCTGTGATGTATATATTTTCTTTGGTCTTCCACTTCTCGTGGTCGTTCCAAATTTCCTTCTTTTATTTCGTTCCTAAATTTTAAGCGTTTTTGTTTGACACAATGTTTTGCAAAAGCGCTAACATTAATGATTAAAATAAAATGAAAGAGTTGTTTTCTTTCGAGCTATGTTTTTTATAGTGTAACGAATAAAAGCAATCATACATTCTACGAAAGAAGTGCAGATATTACAAGTAAAGCTGTCGTAAATAATAAATTTTGCCCAAATTTTCTAACTACACTGTAATTTAAAATTAGTAAAAACGGTTATTTTACTTAGTGCGTCTGTTCCTGGCTTAGGCTTGTCGTTGATAGATAACTAATGAAACTGCCTATTTATGAAGACCCACATTGCAGCGCGAGGCTCAGCGTAGGCGATGTTAAAAACATTGTATGCTTTAAAGCAGTGGTCGGCAGGCCATAGCTCACTGAGCGCTCACTGAGCACATGTGTGTGTTCACACGTACATATGTATGTATATGAGCGGCAGCTGAGCAGTGCATTTAACGCACACAGTCTCTTTGGATAATAGCCGTGGCGCCGCCCACTTATGACCACAAATGTGTATCTCGGTAACCTATTCATCAAATTCAACCAAAATTGGTGCACCTTATAATCTTGGTACGGAATAGCAATTTCTTGAAAATTATTCAAATCGGACTAGAATTACACCCCCTTCTCGTATAACGGTAAATTTCAAAAATACAAAAAATCCGATATTTAAAAAACTGAGAACACTAATTTTTTACTCCAAGTTTATACTTACAACAGTCTATTAACAATAAATATGACTGTTATAGACTTTTAGGAAGAAGGCGTGGCACCACCCTCTTTATGACTACAAAGGTCCTATCTCGGTAACCGGTTTATTGATTACTACCAAACTTGGTCCAATGATTTCATTAAGTCAGCATATTATCGAAAACATTTGAAATCGGAATAAACACCCCAGCTTATCATGCAAAGGTAGTTGAGAGAAAGTGGAAACGATGATATTTTATACCTGCGCCGGGTATAAAAAATTCGGTTTCGCCCGAACCTTTACCTCTTTACTTGTTTTTATCTGCATTTGAGCAATTTCTAAAATTTTACAGAACTAAGCTATGAGAAGAAGATCTGTACATGAGTTTGAAATTATAATTTTAATTTACACAAGACTGTACATACTATGGTCTCTGCTATCGCTTATTCGGTTTTATCAATTCAAGTTTTGATGTGATTACATTATACATGAAACATTATATTCCAATCGCTCTTTGGCATAAATTTTTAATAGGCTGTCACTTTTTTTCTTAAGTGTTTTTCATTAAAGGCTTATCACCAAACTTTTGGCAATTTCGATCTAATTCGCTAATTTAATATGCCTATATATTTAAGTATGCATGTACATATGTATGTATATTTGTTTCTTCTTCCCCTCCCCTGCCGTGAAAGCAACTAGTAGTTCTGAGCTAAATTCCTACTTGCTTCCCTTACAACTCAACTAAGTAGTTCGTCTTCTACTTACATACATATGTATGTATGCATATTAGGGCGGGTCAATTTGTATGGGAGATTTTTTTTTCGGCTTTGAGCGTATAGCACAGAAGTGTAAAAGCATCCACACACCTATGCGATTCTGTCGGTGCGAATCTGTTCCGACAAAAATTACAACAATGCCGTCAACAGTTTTAAATGAGGAACTACACACTTATACGATTTTGATGCAGCGATTTATTCGAACATCCGCAGTTCTTCTTTTCGTCGTGCCGAAATCACAGACTGACGCGTTTTATGAACGAAAATAGTCAATAGAAGGATTTTACAATATTAAATCAAAAATTGAACGTAAGAAAACAAAACATGTTTAATGTAGAAAAGTTAAGAATCTTTTTTTGTCGAAAAATATTTTTTTTTGTCTATAAATTTACAGTTTTTACTGCGATAAAATCGGAAAGATGTGTGCGTACATGCGTTTAAGAAGCAGTAACGTCTGTAGCATCAAAAACGATGCGGATTCATTGCGACAGAATCGCACGGGTGTGTGGGTGCCTTAATTCTAAACAAATTTGCCGAAGAAACCATGGGCTGTAGGGTCGTATAGAAGTGCTTAAATGTTGTATAAAACATACTATAAGGGGCTTTTGGTAAAGGGAATCCATTTCCGCACTTAACTTGTTCATAAAGTATTTTCTTCGGAATCCATTTTAGCAATTTGGCAAACTTGGAACAACTTCTATGGGCCCGTGGAAGTTATTTCAGACTTAATTTCCACTAAGATAAGACATAACTTCCATGGAATTTATGTCATGACATAACTTTCAAAAGATTTTCACGAAAATTTCATGGAAGTTATGTCATGACTTAATTTCCACAATAATTATCGCGCTAATCAGAGGTGAAACCCGAATGGCAGTAGGTGACTTCAACGCGCACCACGGTCTCTGGCACTCAAGACTGGCCAATGATCATAGGGGAAATCTCTTGGCTGAGCAGATAGACGATTCGACATTCCCCCACCAGGATTGTGGGTAGCTGCAGTAGCTCGCCAGACCTTACAATTGCTAGCGCTGGTCTGATCAATATCATATCATGGCGACCTATGTTAACACTAGCATCAGACCATCTACCCATAATCATCTCGATCAATAAGCCCACCGACTTTGCTCCCGCGGACCACCGAACCTACACCAACTTTAACAAAGCTGATTGGGACGGCTTCGCGGAAGCTACCGAGAGCAGCTTCACCGCCCTTTCCACACCCACAAACATACATGCTCAGTGGCGGATTTATCGTACAGGCAACATAGGCTGAAGCCTAGGGCGGCAGAATTAAGGGGCGGCAAAATTTAAGACAGCTAAATTAAAAGAAAAAAATTTATTTGGATTCAGCTGCACTTGAAATTGTGTTTGTGTCTGTAAAATATTATTAATGATTCATCTCATTCAATACAATTCAAAATTAGAATTACGCTGCGAATTTTTCCTTAGTATAGCAGTCGTTGAAATTTCCATTTAACTTTCATTCACGCGGCTTAGAAACCTGACGGCGCGCCTGCGCGTGACGCAAAGAAACAGCCGACACGCTGCCCCGAGAACGAGAATCATCTAAAAGGTTACCACACTTGACAACACTGCCGAAAAACGAGCGTGCATTTTCGAGAAAATTCTTGATTCCAAGCCCACCAGTTTTTCATAAGTGTATCATAACGTGAATAATCTGAAGGTCAGCTTCGCGTGAAAAACTATCTCAGATCTTCATTGAGCGAAAACAAACTGAATGCTCTTGCGTTGCTGACTATAGAGTCAGATTTGTTTCTATCTATCGATTGTGAAGATATTATCCGCGAATTCGCAGCTGGAAAATCAAGACGTAAAGTACTGTGAAAAAGAAGTGTTTGAAAGAGGGTTTTTGTTGAATACCTTATCCATGCTGATGTCGAATTTGTTAATTCCGTTATGTATTTCATTATTAACGAANTAAAGTACTGTGAAAAAGAAGTGTTTGAAAGAGGGTTTTTGTTGAATACCTTATCCATATTAACGAACTATATTGTAATAAAGCACTGACAATAACAATCATATTTGATATATATATATTTTTTTTTTTCGTGAAAAAAGGGCGGCAAGTTATGATTTGCCTAGGGGCGGCAAATATTTAAATCCGCCACTGTACATGCTGGCGAACGCCAGTTCCGCAGGGTAGTCACTGCCGCAGCGGCTCGCGTCATCCCGTCCGGACGTATCGTGGAAATCCGCCCAAATTTCCCGGCCGAAGCAGCTGTACTAGCAAATGAGTGTGACCACCTACGCCAGGTCGATCCCGGGGACCCTCGTCTGAGGGACCTTAATTTGGAGATTCGGCAACTGGCAAATCAGCACAAAAACTAACCGCCCTATTCCCACACCACTGACAAAACTCAGCGGCTGACTATTGCCTTTATTACCGCGCCTAATACTATGCCGCAAATTTATTTTAAGCTGTCGTATGACAATTGTCAGTTTTATTGTTATGACCTACTGAGTAAGTGACAACGGCGAACCAATGTTTATATTGTGTTTTAGGCGCAGTAATTGTGACAATAGTCATATGATGAATTTTGTCAGTGTTGTGGGAATAGGGCGGTAAACCTCGTATGTAACTTGAGAATAGAAATCGCTGCATCTTTTAGGCGCATCAATATTACATAGTTACATCCCGAGCTAATAAAGGCAAGGTAAAAATCAGCGCATTTTTTAGCCGCTTAAAACTTGCCCTTGCTTTTCTACCGATCTATCATTCTAAAAATTCAGATTAAAAAGTTCAAAATTTAGACAAAAATTTGTTAAATTTTTCAAAGTTTTGATTAAAGCATGAAAGATATTTTTATAAAAAAATAGCGGAAAAATTTTACCCGCGTGCAGAATTTGTTTATTTGCATATGTGCATACATATAAAAGCATCTACATAGGTATGTATACATATGTATTTACAAACATTTGTATGCGTTTGTCTTTTAGCGTGTTTATAAATTTTTTTTTTTATGAAGACTTTACTGATTGTTGACGAAAATATGGTTTAGAATATCTTCGTAAATTTATATTTATTAATAATTTTCGGCAACTTTGATGGAAATAATGGTTTCCTAAAATGTATCCAGAGAATTTTGTCTAATAAATAAAAACGGGTTTTGGATTAAATTCAATTAAAAGGGCATTAAAATTAACTACCAAAAGTCATTTTGTTGATAGATATAAACGTGCACAAAAATAAATGACATTTCACAATTGCAAATTTATTCAAATTCTGTTAATTTGGTTCCGCTCTGCGCTCACAGCGTTAAAAAGTGGTGAACTTCTAGAGCACTCAATGTTAAAAATTCAAGGTGGTGAACTTCTAGAGCATTTCTGATCTATTACAAAATTCCAACGAGTACCCAGCTGACACCGGAACGAAGGAATGTCTTTCCGAATGAAAGTCTTCCGCAAATTGTTCGCCAACTCGACATAAGAACGAAAGTTCGCTTTAGCGAATAATTTGCGAAAGAAAGTCTTCCGCACATTGTTCGCTAGCTCGATAATTTTTTGGAGTGGCCACACATTTTTGTTTTGACAAGCGTTGTTCGAGTATTGAAAGTGAGATAAAGAAAATATTATTATTTCTATAAAGTTTTTGGCATTTAAGATGATTAAATAACTAAAATATAGTTTGTTTCATAAAATTTGCATTCGATTGTAGTTTACAAGCGTGTATAATGCCAAAAAGAAAGTGCCGCAATTTTATACGCGAGGCTAGCCATGCAGCAGCCGCAATATCGATATTCCAACCACAACAGGCAGTCACGTGGAAGGCGAGTCTTTCAGAATAAGATTAGCAAAATGGGTGTCTGGTAATACTATTAGTTAACAGTATTCAATAATAATAATAATAAATAGTTTAATATATTACTTTTATATAAAAATAATTTCTTTGGTTTTTCATTAAGCGGGGCCAAGATGGGAATAGGAAAAGAAAAAACAATCGCTAGCAATATTGTAAAAGATCCGAAAGAAATTTCATAAACAATTAGCAAACCAATTCGAAAGTGATCCGCTAACGATACGTTGTCAAACCCTCGAGAACGATACTCTCTCTGCCACAAACAGAGCGATGCGTCGTGGGGAAATATTCCGAAAAAGGTCGATTAGCGATTATCGTTTTCAACAGTTTAGTTCGTAAAAGGTCCGCAAAACATTTCTTTACGATATTGCTAGCGAATATTTGGTCGGCTGGGTAATGTTCTCCGTCAGAAAAGCTCTAGAAGTTCACCACCTTAAATTTTTAACATAGATTGCTCTAGAAGCTCACCAATTTTTAACAGCGTGAGCTCAGAGCGGTGCAAAATTAACAGAAATTGCAATTGGAGCAATTGGAAATGTTAATATTTGTGTGGAAAATAGATTCTGTAGGTGGATTACAACAAAGTTTTCTCTTTTGTTGACATTTTTTTTCGCCAATTTGATTTCTATTTCAATTCCGTTATAATGTCAATTGCAAAAGGAACAAAACAACGGAATTTTAGTTTCCAGAATTTATTCTGGCGGCAGCATCTTTTTATAACGCGATCGAATCGTTAATCCAGAAAGTCGATCCAAAAGGCGAAAAATGGACGCAAAAAAGCGAAAATGTCGCGTACTCGGTTGCGTAAACCAACATCCAAATCTACGTTTTTTCAGGTTCCCGCTGGACAAAGCAGAAGCAGCCAAATGGAGGGACAACCTTAGGATTGGAACAGAGGAGAACCTTCCACCCACCTACTCCCTGGTATCCAGCCAACACTTCGAGTCGAAAGCTGTGGGAGGGAAATACCTGATGTCAATGTTGCACCGAAACCATGACAAAAACGCAGAGCGATTTGCAAATGCATTCCGAAGCCCTAATTTGAGCGAAGAATTACAAAGGGGAGGATGGCTTAAGGCTTGTAAATCCGAAGGATTAAGTCTTCGAAATGTTCCGCACATCCGCGATTAAAGTAAAGACCGACGAAATATTTCCCACATGGTATTCGGATGCCGAGGATTGTAGAGATCATCGTTTGCAATTATTAGATTTTCTTATTACGGTTCCCCTTCAAGAACGATAGAATACAAGATTGCGCATTCCCGCAGAATGACATTTGTGGCAACGGGTAAACAAAGAATATGGCGAAGAAAAATGAGTTGACAGTTGTGAATTTGCAGTGAGAAAACGTGTTTACTTAACGATTCGCCAATTTCTCAAGACATCTTTGAATATGGCAAATTAAGCACAACGTTAACAAAAAATATACAACCGACGTATTAATTAACTATTTAGAATTTTCGTGTTTGTACTGCAGGTGCCTAAAAAGTGATAATATCTTGTCGCAGCGCATGTTTTCCTGCAGAAAGTGGTCGATGCATGCTTACCTCCGATTTTAATTTGTAATTTGTGGTATTTCAACGTTTTCCTTACGCTGGTGTCTAAATTGTATGGCTTCTCCTGTCGGCAGAGCTGTACCCACTTTCTGGCCAAGGCGTCGTCGCGGGGAAACAAAAAAAAAACTGCATTTGGTGCCTTTGCGCCTACGGCGGCTGCAATTCAACACACGACACGACATTTTTATAAAGTTTTTATTACAAATAAAACGTTTTTTACTTCAGAACGCACGAATTACTTCGATTTTTCACTTGAAAGTACACAATACGATTGCACTTGTTTATAAACTTTAAAGTTTGTTTACGTATTGCCATAAACGTCAAAGTCGGCAAAACCAAGGTAGCGGTTTCGTTCTTGTTCGAGTTGCAATCACAACTGCAGTGTTGCGCGAATTATTAAAGTATCACGTACGGTGTGAATTTCTAGCAACGTGTTATTTATTGTTCACACGTGCTTGGGCAGAAATTTTCATCAGTGCGGCAGTGATGCCGCTTTTATTACGTGCCTCGAACATGCCCTTCCTCTACTAGCAGGTGTACCATCTGCTCACAAGCATGGAGAGGATAACTGCGGCGCTGGACGTGTTATTGAAGGAAGCAAATGAGCTATATATTGGCACAGAAGTAGTCGAACTAGATCAAATACCAAATCCAATAGAATTTGCGCGCAATTTTTATGCCAAAAGTCAACCAGTGGTGATACGTAATGCGGTCAAGCATTGGCCAGCGGTACAAAAATGGAATCCATCGTATCTAGAGCAAATGCTTGGCAACAAATTGTTAGACGTCACAACAACGCCTAACGGTTACGCGGACGGCTTGGCAAAACAAGATGAAACGGAGTATTTTGTGCTTCCTCTGGAGGAGAAGATGTGTATGAGGGAATTCTTGGAAAGACTTGATGACCCTACTGGAGCAATACACTATATTCAAAAGCAGAATTCAAATTTCACCACCGATTTTCCAGAGTTGGCAGATGATATTAATGTTAACGACTTAAATTTTGCCGAAAAATGTTTGAATACCCCGCCGCTGGTAAATTTTTGGATGGGCGATGAGCGCGCTGTCACATCTATGCACAAAGATCCCTTCGATAATATATATTGCGTTATCGCTGGACATAAGGACTTTATATTGCTACCACCACACCAGGTAGTAAATATTCCTCGGCAACAATATCCGGTCGGACAATATCGACGTAATACACTGGGTCAGTTCTATATTGAGCCAGTGTTGAATGAGCTTGCCGAAGAAAATGAATCTAAACAGATGCAAACCGAATGGATTAGTATCGATCCATTAGCACCGGATTTAGGCAAATATCCGAAGTTCGCACAAGTCCATCCTTTGCATGTGCGTGTATACGCCGGTGACGTTTTGTTTCTGCCTAATTTTTGGTTTCATCACGTGCAACAGAGTCACAAGTGTATAGCCGTGAATTTTTGGTATGATATGGAGTTCGATAGTCGTTACTGTTATTTTCGAATGTTAGAAAAACTTTTGGAAATAAATCCAAAATAATTTAAAACTGGCATTAATTTAAATTTATTTACTTGGGGAGTTAAAGAGTTCAATTTGTGGCAAACGCACATTTGTTTTCCGATTACTTATTTCGGGATGGAGCCTTTTGGAGAATCTCAAAAATTAGTGTTATAAAAGGTTAAATTAATCAAGAACGAAAACCTACCGGTACGGAAATCCGAGTCAGCTGACACGATCTGCCTTACCAAAGCGCCATGTAAATGAAAACTCAACACCGACGAATTTTTCTGTAGCCCAGAAATCTGCGGAATTTAGATTTTTCCGTGACAGCTGATTTCTTCCTTCTATAGATGGTTGCCACTTCGTCAGTTTTGCAGATGGTAAAAAAGTTATAAGTTCCTATTCAAAATACGTTTAAAATATTTGAAATTTACTATCGAATAAGGTTTTGAAAAATAAGTATTTTATATTTAGCTAGCATCTATTATGGTATGAAAAATTGTAGTTGAAAAGCCAAGTTTATGAAAAGGAATTGATGAGTGGCAACACTGTAGTAAGCAACACTGGGGGCTCCAGTTATCGACAAAATTCTGCGTATTCAGACAGCGTTTGAGTATAAGTTCTACGTTCTTGACTAATTTCACCTCAAGGCAGCACACAACCGTTTCTAATTCATTTCTACATAAACATATATTTATTTTATTGGCAAATTAGGTGACATTTTTGCTTTCACACCCATATGGTAGTAAATCGTGGAAGCGCTAATAGGTTCTTAAGAAATAATTTTAAAATTTTAAATCCTTTATTTGATCTTGGTGTGAATTGACCTTTCAACGCCTTTCGAACTTATATAGCCCCAACTTACACCATGGGCACTCATTCCTTATACATACAACATGTGCATTTGTGTAACTGTTTTTCCTTTTATAAAAAAGTACTAACTTCATTCACAAGAGATATTACCATAATTATAAAAAATAATAGCAAATACATATTTTTTTTTTTTAATATTTGTTTTGTTGAAGTTACTTAAAACGTAATACAAACAAATATTTATTGTAATTACTAAAAAAATAAAGATCTGCTGACGTTGCCCCTCTTCTGTTACAAATAGTTACAATTTTTGCTGTTGATTGGTAAGAGAGCATATTTAAACGGAATTGTTGTCTATTAAAAAATTACAATGGCGCAGCAGACCGGAAGGAAATGCTTTTGCACAAAAGTAAGAATGTTCCGTTGCATATTTTTTTGATTTTGTAAAATATCTATTAACATGTTCTGTATTAATGGTGGTAATGTAAATGTTATCCTGATGCTGCTGCTGATTGCTGCTGATCCTATAATTTTAAGTTTAAGTTATTGTAAAAGTTTACAATTCATCCTTCGGGTGTTCCTCGGGTTTCTCTGTAACCTCCTCTTCTGACTCGCCACCCTGAAAAAAATAAAATAAATATAAAATTAGTAGTGCGTATTAAACATATGTAGGATGTATATTCTACTATAAATATACAAACGTTCATTCAGTTTTGTAATATATCATATTTACCTGTGACACATCACCGCCTGCTTCCAGGAACTTCACGAAATCATCAAAAGTTCTGTCCAAATTGTAGTCAATGACTTTGTTATCGCCCTTGCGGTACAATTTAATGGTGGGGAATGACGAGATTTTAGTGTGCTCCAACTCATTGGCAGTGGCATCGATTTTAGCTACCACAATGTTCTCATTGTCCTTGAACTTCTCACCCAGTTGATCGTAGATGGGAACCAATTGCTTGCAGTGTCCACACCAAGGCGCATAGAATTCAACCAGAACATCTTTGCTCTTGTCAAAAGCAATGTCATCAAAATTGGTAGCAACCAGCACTTTAACAGGGTTCTTATCCCAATCCTCGGGCAACTCTTGTGACAACAGGTGTTGCTTCAATTTGCCATCCATGAACTTTTGCAAAAAGCTCTTGATGGTACTAGCAGATAAGTCATTCGATTCTGGCTTGTATTTGGCCATATCTTCTTCTAAGCGAATCAAACGGATAGTTGGTACTTCATCCTTTGCCATGCCGAAGAACTCGAAGATACGTTGGTGCTCTTCCTCATCCGAAGAGATGGTAACGAACAGTATGTCTTCGCGGTATTCCTTGGCAATCTCTTTTAAAGGATCGACATATTTCTCAATATGTCCTGCTTCTTTTGAGACGAAGAACAACAGATGCGATTTAATGGATCCACCGAAGATCTTGGCAGCCGATTCATGGTTGAATTCCACAATCAATGGCAGAGATTGCACTTGCACGAATTTTTTGATATTGTCAACGTTGGCTTCGCCTTCGAGTACCGATTTCTTATCATCGAATGGCTTGAAGAGTACAACACTGCCGTCTTTAACTTCATATTTGGCAACAACTTCATCGTTGCTGCTGATAGCAAACTCGAAGCTGTCCAAAGCGTTGGCGACAGCAATGAAAGCCTTGGCTTCGTCGGAATCTTGGTTCTTGAAAAAGCCGACAACGACGATCTAAAAAGCATTAAGAAAAATCACATATGTAAATATACGTATGAATATATGCATACAGTTTTCCAAAATAACATTAAATTATAAAATAAGTATTCAGCAATTTTTATTGAGCTTGAGGCTGTTTTTAATGAAAAACTATTGTGGAAAACGGCCTCAAGCGCAATAAAAATTGTTATAAAATAGTGCGTAGGCAACTGACTGTGTCAGTGGTGATCGTCGGTTCGAATCCTACTGAAAGAAGTCTGATGAGGAAATGTGGTGATTTCCGAAATAGCTTATCACTTCTACCATTTTTTCAAATTACTGTTGCTTTTTCCTTTGTTATAAAATAAGTATAAAATTGGAATACAAGATGATTGAAAATTTATCTACTTACTTTATCGTCTTTCAGCAATTCCTCAGCTTCTTCGACGGTATTCAGTTCCTTGGCCGGTGGACCAGTCTTCTTGGTAACCCATGAAATGATATCATCTGATTGACGGCCACCACTGTAATCGACGGGGACGCCGTTACGGAAGAACTTCAGTGTGGGATAACCACGCACCTGGTATTCCTCAGCCAATTCGCTCTCCACAGTAGCGTCGACCTTGGCCAATTTGATTTCCGATTTCTGTTCTTCTAAGTGCTGAGCGGCTTTAGCGTATTCGGGAGCGAGCGCTTTACAGTGGCCGCACCATGGAGCGTCTAGAAATTAGATGATTGAAAAGTATTTAAAAATCATTGTGTAAAATATTCTACGAAAATTGGTAACTTTCGTTAACCGGCATTAATTAAGGTCGCAGTAATGATAACACCATCAAATTTATAAACGAAACCTTAAAAAAGATTTCGAGAAAAACGACTTCGAAGTTTACCAAGTTTATTTTGATGCTTCTGAACGTTTTAATGGATTGAAGCTCGTTACTCGGGGGTTTTCAGGGTCGCCGATTACGAATCAGATGTTAGTTTTCCAAAATTCAAAATGGCTGATCCAATATGGCGGATGACATTTTCAAAAATTGATCGTAATCGCTTCAAACTCGTTACTCGGGGGGTTTTTGGTGTCGCTGAATACGAACCCGGCGTTCGTTTTAAAAATTCAAAATGGCGGATCCAATATTCGTTGACACCGAATTTTGAAAAACTAACATCGGATTCGTAATCAGCGACCCCGAAAACCCCCGAGTAACGAGTTTGATGCGAATATGATTAATTTCCGAATAGTTTGTCAGATTTGATTTTTTTTGTACTTTTTTTGTGAAAGTACCTAACTTTGAAATTGTGAAAAAAATAATGCAGCTCTGCGGTTAATTGCATTGAGAAGAGCGGCTCGTTTACTATAAGGGTCGATGAAAAAGTGAAAACCGATTTTTTCTGACCGTAGGTCGATTTTAACTTTACGTGTCACATATTAAGATAATACAAGTAATTTTTAAGCAAAAAACCAAACCGACTTCAATTCTCATATAAAAATTTAAGATTATGGTTAATTTCTTCATGATCTAATTATCGGATCTAAACAAAATTAGTATGGGACCACCCTTGAGGTACAACTTTTCCGATAAAAAAAAAGAATTATCGAAATCGGTTAACGTGGTCCAAAGTTATGGGGTAACATACATAAAAAAAAAATATCCGACGAACTGACAACCTCGTCCTTTTTTTAAGTCGGTTAAAAACTAAAAATTAAAATTGCATTTCTGTGTTCGTATGGAATAGGAGTATATTAAGGCATTCGCAGCATACGATTGTGAATGACTCACTGGCGCCGAGCCGCTGAAGAACTGTTGGAAAATAAACTTGCAAAAAATAGTTCCGCACTAGCAAATCAATATTTTTATTACGTCTCGTCAAAAGATTCCCTATCGTTTAAAGAATAAAGGGAATGCCGCATTATACTAAAGCCAGCTTCCCGACATAAGCTACTATTCCAAACGAACACAAATTTATTTACAGGATAGTATATTTTAATTTATTTCAATTACGTTCTTGTGCAAATAAACTCAATGAAAAGTTATCAACTGGAGCTGGCGATGAAGTAATAATTTCAACAGCCATCTGTACATATGTATGTACATTAAAGAGCAATAAAAATAATGAGGCCAGAAATATTTAAATATCAACTATAAATAAAACAATGCCAATAACACGTGTAATATGCATATCATACGATATGCATGTATGTAGATATAAATACATATTAGACTCCTGCGCAATTCCATTTAAATGGCCCAACAAGACATCCGATCGCCGCGCAAATACTTTCCATCCCCTACTTTCATCGTTCGGGTCAATTGTGAGTAAGCATAAACCAGTTTCAGCAAGCGTACGTAAACTACCGATCAATAGCAACACGCGTAGAGTATTTACTTTGCCTTCCGCAACTACTGCGAGTAAAAGGTATTTGACAGTAGAGTACTCTACTGGTAGTACTTGAGTATTTTCGAAGAAAACATNCGCCAAGTAGGGTATGTATGCGGAAAAATAGTAACAATGTGTTGGGAGTAGAGTACAATGCAGGGAGTACTTATTGAACGAAATGCGGCAAATACAATTGCGCTGGACTCTAATACATATATATTATGCACATACGTGTTATGTTCGCGTATGCTTGAATTAAGGACTACTGGCGTCATGACGAGGATAATTTTAGCACACACCATCTCTTTATAGCCTAATTATTTTTCGCGTGGGTAG